CCTTCTCCTACTTGCATGTACCATCCTGGGCCTCAGTTCCATACCAGATACACATGAGCTGTTGACCACCCTCTTAGCACTAACTAGTTAGAACTAAATGAAACAAAGAGGACCAGGTGGCATCACTAAGGTGCCACTCTTCCCAGAAAAGGCTGTCAAAGAGAGTGATTTCATTCACTCAGACCTACCAAGTCCTGGGAGCTGCTCACCAAGAATGGTATTGATGAACAATGACTCTAGGCACAGCGGTCAGTTAATGATGGCCCGCCCTGCCCTGTGAATCAGAGAGTCATCTCACTTAATCTTCATAACTACCCTGCAGGGATGCTGTTGTTACAAATGGTTTGAGGGAGCTATAACCTGGAAACATTGAATGACTTCTCTAAGAAATGACAAAGCTAGGATTTGAATCTAGAACCCAAATTGGAGTAAAGTGGAAGAAGAATCTGAGCTGCTAATTCAACACAGGAGTAGCGGGTACAGAGGCATCAGGTATGAACACAACTGGGTGTCATTTGTCTATTACACTTGCAAAGCTTCCAATGGGGAGTCGGACTTAAGGTGCTGGCGGTCCCAGGAAGAATGTTTCCCTGGATGGTCCCTGATGCAGAGTTAAGAGATGGTCCACAATCTAAAGTCTGTGCACCAGGAGTCAGGTGAAAGACAGATCTTGTTCTGTACCCTGTGAGACTCAGCCAATCCCACTACATCATGCTTTCACCTTCAAGCACTTTCACGGTCACCAAAGAACAAACAGCACATCCTTGAGAGAGAGAACTGCTTTGCAAAACTATGCCTAAGTGGCACCAGTAGAGGACGTAATGGTTACATTGCTGGACTCCCATGTAGTGGACTGTGGTTCGAATCCTGGACTTGGTAGCTAAAACTCACACCAGGCACATGTGCATGTAGGCCCAACATCCTGTGAGGAGAAAGAAGGAGAAGGAATTGCAGCATGACCATACCCCTGAGGGGTGATTTCTTGCTTTCCAGTGAGTACATGCATTCTATAACAAAAATCTCTTAGAAAAGGAAAAAAAAGTGTCTAAGATTTGAAGTTTAGAGAGGTAAGACTTCCAGAATTTTCATCTATGGTTTCTTTCCCCATGGAATCAATGCATAAAGGGCTAGAGAACAGACAGGAACTCCACAGATTAACTTCTCAAAGCCTTTCATAGTTAACCCATTGTTTCCTCACACTTTCCATGCTGTTGAGAAAAGGAAGTTTTAACTCTACGGAAAGTGATACAATTAAGATGGACGGTGAGAGCTCCCAGTAGTGACTCCAGCCATGCCTCCCTCTATTCTCCTCAAAACACACACCTGGTGACATGAGCCACATGGGCCAGTCTGTCAGCCAATAAGAGATCCTTTGCCATGAAACTCAACATTGCCAGGAATGATGTTGAGTGAACAAGCTAGAAATTTCACATTTTGAAATTAAAAGGTTAAAAAACAAAACAACCGTAGGAAGAGAAAAGGCTATCAGGCATTATCCCTCTTTCATAAGAACTTGACAGTTGGATGGAAATAAAATTCCCATCAGCTAGTGAAGAGAACATTTAGAATATCCTTGAAAACAGAAGCGACCTTCTCAGAGCTGCCCAGACAGAGACACTTGTCATGATCCGGAATGGGAAGCCCTCTGGGACCTCAGAATGGCGTGTGGCAGAGAATGTTAGAGTGAAATACTAGGATTACCAAGCTAGCTGTGGCCTCAGACTGGCCTTGTGCCTTTGAGCAAGGTTGCTCAACCCTTGCATGGCCCAGTAACCTCACCAATCAGATGGGGGAGTCATCATTCTCTAGCCCTCTAGCCCTGCACAGCCAAAGGTGTTCTCAGACATGCCAGACAAGGATGACTAGCTCTTTCATGGTCCCTTATATATTTTATTTTAGAATGGGAAACGTGCTTTAAAGTTAGAAAGGATCTTGCTTTGACATGTTTACTCCAGTGAATCATCCTGCTCTTACATTCATGAAGATATTCCATTCTAGTCCTCTCTGGAAAGGGTCACACTCTTCCACATAAGCCTGATCTAAATCCAGACCAACATCAGAGACCCACAGTTCTTAGACTGCGCCTTGGCACTTCTTCCCTGGGCCCTGGGACGTGGAGGACTGTGGCCTTCCTGCGTACACTCCTTTGGGTTTCTTATACATCCCCTCATAAGGAGAAGCAAAGCCTGGGAATAAAAGGCCTGCAACATCAACTGAGAGGTGTGACCAGCCCTGTGTCTGCTTCCAGCTCGGTCTGTACATGGGGGCAAGGCTCCCACCTCTGCAGGTCTGCCTCCTGGCAAAATGAGAGCCTGGCGCTAGCAGGTGGCACGGTAAAGTCCCGGACTCCCACATGGCTGACTATGGTTCTAGTTCCAGACCTGATGGCTTGAAAATCATGCCAGGCATGTGTGCACATGCCCCAAATCCCAGGAGAATGGACAAGAAGGGAATGCAGCGTGGTCATCCCCTCTGGGGTGTGATTTCCCACTTTCCCCTGTACTGCCTCTCTCTGTCTCCCTCCTCTCTGGTAAGTGCACACACCCTGCAGCAAAAACCTTAAGAAGGAAAGAAAGAAAGAAAGAAAGAAAGAAAGAAAGAAAGAAAGAAAGAAAGAAAGAAAGAGATAGAGAGAGAGAGAGGGAGAGAACGAATAAACGAACGAGGCTAAAAGCCCAGAACCTCTGGAACTCTGGAGTCCACTCTTGCTCCAGTGATCTATGAGTTGGGGACATGCACCCTCCTCTGACTCACTTCACAAATAGTATTTGCTATGGGAAGGGAGGGTGCTATTCCAGGACATACCCCCCTTATGCTTACTGAGGCCTGAAAACTCCTCCCTAAGGAGACATAAGCAAAGATAATGCTTAAATATGCAGGTCCCCATGAAGGAGGACATTCGTTACTCCCCTGGTCCCTGGCAGAAAACGAAGTCCTTGAGAGCTGACTTATTAGACAAAATGGCTTTACTGCTGCTCTTTCCTGTCTATATTCTGCAACATCACCACCCTGCACTTGGGAATACAATATGGACGTGACAGTCCTTCAATATGTAGAGAGACCTAAGTAAATGAAACTATAATCTTATGGAAAGAGGTCAGCAAACACTACCTCTTACCCTGTAGATGGTTATTAACTCTCCAGAAAAGGTAGAATACAGAGGGGCAAAAAGGATATCTTTCTCAGTTATCTGTTGGGGGTCAAAATATCCCCATCTTCCAAATGAGAATATTTCAAGCAGCACCTATCTGAATGTCCTAACTGGAAAGGACCTATATAACAGAGCCATGATGGCAGAAGGATGAGGCGCACGAGGTGCAAAGGGCCCAGTCCGAGGTCCCAGAGAACATGAACTGAGATAAGGACCTGGGTCTCCAGACTCTAAGAGCAAACTGAAGAGCCTAGGAAGAGAAAAAGGAGGGACGGGCCCATGGCTCCATCTCAAGAGAGCTCCCCCTCTCCAGGTTATTAATGATTGTAAAAGCATCTGCAACCCAAGACCAGGATATCAGCTGCCACTGATGCCCATAATCACCCTTTGTGGGCAAAAAACATTTTTTAAAAAGTAGCCAACATCAATAGGTCTAGGAAGGCCAGAGGCCCCTGCATTTTGTAAACCCAGTCGGATTGTAAACACTCATGGCATTATTCTAATTGGGTTAAGTAACAAAAGCACCCCCCCCCAGGTGCTTTGTTCATCCCAAATGTTTCCCAGACATTAACTTCCCAATAAACTCAAACCACATTGGGGAGAATACCAAAGTGCATGTGGATGGACCTCACCCACTTGGATACCATCAGCTCTCTATAAGAAATAGACATCACAGGCCACTGGGCTACATGGCAAACTAACTAGAGAGTAGAAAGGTCTGACCACAACATCTGTGCCAGGCACACAGAAGGGACTCACGGAAGGTTTGCCGAGTGAATACATGAAGGTATTAGCCTTGTAATCAGATAGTCTTAGCTAAGATCCTTAATGTGACAATGGATCCTCTAACTTCACTGACCTTTTCCAGGCAGGGCTGAGGATGCTCAAGGCAGTCATAAGAATCCCATGACATCATGCATGTGGAACAATTCTTGGACTACAGTGAATATAAATGTGTTGCCTGTATCCTTCTAAAAAAAATCGCATTCTTAAAAAACATAATAAAATAAAAAGTTGTTCAAAGGAGTTTTTTCAATCAAAGTCAGCTGGAAAAGAAAGTAAGGCCCCAGTGGGGTCTGCTAAATAGGACGTTATGAGTTAATGGCAGCAGGATGAATGCAACCCAGATGCCTAGCATCCTGTGCAGCCGATCCCGAAATAACCACAGCCTTCTCAGGGCTGGACATTTGCATAGGCATTTCCCCATCTGGAACGCAGGTCCTTCCCATATCACCTGTAATGCATTCATCTTTCAAGTCTTGGCTAAAACATCAACTCTCCTAAAAACCTTCTAAGTTAGAACTGACATTCTTCCTACCACCCAGTTCTGTTGTCAAACAACCCAGAATGCACCTCTAGTCAGGACCTATAACATTTCCTCTATAGGCTGGTGGCTTTTCATTCATTTTGATATCGGCAGTGTGGAGAATGTGGATTAATATTTAATATATGCTCATAAAAAAGCTAATGTATGAATGAATGAATGAATGATTCTAGCCACTGGCTGTTCTGAAGGAAGAATTTCAAAATCCTGCATATAGTGACACTGAAAAGGCCACGCAGACCTGCAGCCATCTTCAGAGTTAGTGACATTAAACCAGATGTATACACTGGGTCACAGAATGTCCTGGCACTTGTCCTTTCAACATGCAATGACACCTATGGAGTCGTGGTTATTTGCTTTCCAAGAGCACTTCAAAATTGCAATATTCACTTCCCCTTGTCTTCCCTCTCAAGCTTTGTTCCACCACCTGGACAAAAGGCTGCAAACATATTCATTCCCGCCACTGAAGCAAGCCACTAGAAGCAGCCTAGCACAAGACAGAGGTCTGGACAGGATTGAGCTTACCTCTCTTCGTCCTTAAAGATGAACTTGCGCAGCTTGAGGTCCCGCAGCACCAGCCCCCCATCATGGCAGTGGGCCACTGCCGAGGCGATCTGGTAGAACAGTCTGGCCGCCTCCTCTTCCCTCAGCTTCTTGCAGGTGCGGACAAACGAGTGCATGTCCCCATAGCTTCGCTCAAAGAACACATAGGCTTTGGTCTCCCCCAGGATAATCTCGGTGATTTGGTTGATGTTGCTATGGGCAGACAGACAAAAGCACGGCGCCAGGGACTCCTGGTAGCAGCTGATATCGAACACCTAGGACAGGACCAGCAACAGGACAGAGTCAGAGATGCCTCCTGCACGATCAGATCACAGAATGCTGACACTTCCCAGAGACCACGGAACGCACTCTGAATGTGGACCCAGACCATCTGACCCTGCCTCTAACCGGCTGTGTAACACTGAACAAGCCACTGACCTCTGTGAGCCTTTGAGGCCTCATGTGTCAAACAGGCCAATGATACTTGACTCACAGTGCTGAGAAGATTATACAAGAAAATGAAGGTAAAGAAATGTAAAATAGTACACAAACAGTATGTTTTATTATTTTTCTCTTTCACCTAATCACTTCTGTTTATAGAAAGACTAAGGCAAAACCTGAGAAAAATAAGTTAATTTACCTTAACTAGAAAAAAAAAGAAAAAGGAGGTAAATCAGCCAACACAACTCAATATTCTAGCAATCAATAGTTCAAACATGTAGGATTTGCTGGAACCAGGTGGTGGCGTAGCACCTCAGAGAGGTCCTAAGGGTTTATGTCCCAGAATGCCCCTGAGCACACTGACATGTGGCACACGTGCCTACCATCTTGCTGGGGGTGGGGGGGTGTGGATCCCAGTATGAAGACTGCACTGGGGGTGGGTCTCTCTCTCTCTCTCTCTCTCTCTCATAGGAAAAAATAAACTTAAAAAGAAAAAAAAACTACGCCTTGCATAATGGTCATCTAATTCAATATGTTTATTTTACAGATACAAAAACTGAGGCTCAGAGAACGAGCCATAACTCAAGCCCCCAGTGGCAGAGCAGGGAATAAGACACAGTCCTTAATATAGCAGATCTGCTTCCTTTGCGCTTCCCTCCACAGATACTAACTCAATGAACCAGTTACGCAATGATTTTTCTATGAATCAAACAGCCTGTGAAATGCCACCTCATCCTGGGGTTGCTTTAAAAGAAAATGCACCATAGATATCATTCAAAACACCTAACAGAAATTACCACCACAAAGAACTGTTGAGATTCTAAGGAAAGCCTTACATTACAAGTCCTCCACGAAATCAGAAACACAAGACCTTCCCTATGGAATGAGGTTTTCCTATCTGGCTGGGAATGTGGGTAAGAAGAATCCATTTGGTGTATACGTGAGTGAGTGGGGGCAGGCGACTGGACGTTTCTCCAGAGAGCATCTAAGGCAGCAACGCCCTCACAGGAAAGAGACTGTTCCTGCTATCAGTTCAATCAGTAGCTTCTTAAATGGCTTTCTCATTAGTTAAAACTTACTTTTCCTGGACCATCATTTTGCAAATGTGGGAAGGAAAACCCTGGACTGAAAGTCACCAGCCTTGTGGCTCTAATACCGTCTCCGCCTCCAGTAATCTGGATGAGGTGGATAAAGCGCTTAGGGTCACTGGACCTCCCTCCTTTTCACAAAAGGAAGATGTTGATTTGGGTCTGGATCTCACAAGAGCATCTGATAAAAGCCCAGTCCCTTCCCCCATGAGGCTGGCAACAGCCTGTCTCTAATGCATTCACATGTCGGATGCATGTAAAGAGAAGCCACAGGCCTTCTGTAACCCATCCAGGGACACAGGCTGCCATTCAGGAATTCTTGAGTTAAGTCCCCCTGAGCTTCAAAGCATGAAATGAAAAAAAAAATCTGTGAGCCAAACAGGGATGCTAAGAACCTCAAGAGGGCTGGTGCAAACCAGGATGGAGAAAGCAAAGTTAATAGTAACATTGTGAATGAACCAGAATCAGGCATCGGGAAAGCGGCACAGCTGCTGCCACTATAACCTAGAATTTAAGAATGAATACTTCACCATCTCCAGAGACCACAAATCACACCCCGATACTGTCAAATGATGACCTAAGAGCAGTGACCTCAGAGGCCTGTTCAATTAGGAAACTGAAATGCTTGAGTCAACTTTAACACCCGGACTGCAGGCAACAGAAACCCAGGGAAGCCTCAAAAATGTCAGAGAGTGAAAAACGCTCTGCAGTAGCTAATGTAAACACTGCATTATATAATGAGGGTGATGTGCTCTGAAGCACCAGGCTGAGGGGTACGTCGCTGGGGCTCGTAGAGTAGGATTATTTATAACATACTTCCTGTTTCCAGTTGCATTTTTTTTAAAGTGATTTTTGCCTGTTACTCGGTCCCATACTAAAAGACTGACTAGATGCAGAATTTTAAGACTCCAATCATATTTATGGCAGCTCCAAAATATGGCCATCCTCTTTTAGGAAGAGACCACATTCCAAGATGGTGGACAGAGTATGAGAAATAAAACAAGTTCTGATGTTTTCCCAACTGGGAAGGAGGCAAACTTTTATTAGTAGCTGTAACAGGCATTTATGGGCTTGGACTGGTATTTAAACCAGCACCTCCAGTGCAAAATCAAGCCAAAAACTTGACTGCCAGCTTCTTTTAAATGTTTAATTTGGAGCCTTAGTTATATAATGTGACAGTTCAGATAAGGCAGTAAGATTAGGCTTTCATTAATAACGTCTGCAAAAACTGTGCCCATTCCGCCAAGATAGTAATTATGTCAATCTGCACAGCAGCTACCAGCGTTTCTATGAAAATGATATAGCTAAAGGTCCCCTGAAGCTCCCCCCTTTCATTTGCCTAGCAAAAGTGGGCACATGGAGACAATAAATGGGTTTATTCTGTAAGTGACCCTGGTATCTCTCTCCCCAATAGTATCCTATAAAACCCTCTATACAGTCGTCCAGAATATATAACATCTTTACATTTGATCTATTTTTTTGCAAGACTTTTTCCGTGGGTCAACGCAAAGCTAGGAAATATGAACCCCATATTTTCAAGCATCAAAAGGAACTTGATTCAATGTGTAGATTTCACTGAGCCTTGAAGTCAGCTAAGGGCCCACAGTCTATATCTGAGGGTAGTTCATAGAAGCAGCCTTATAAAACTCACTTGGAGCTTCCTGGGGTATATACAACTATGCTTGTATAAGAAGTCACCCGCTTCAGCTCTTAGTAAAAAGGCAGGAAAACAGAAGCAGCTGTGTCTTAAAGGGATGACCTCTGTCAAGCAGAACAATGATACTGCACTTAAATCCACTTGTAGCCACACCGTAATTGGTAAGGGGCTGATTCAATCTTTGCAATAACTAAACCAGCAGATTAAGTACAGTTGGAGGCCAGAGAGCACGTCTGCAAATGACACTGTAAGGTCAACCCAGAGAGAAATATGCCTTAAAGAAATCTGGAGAAAGAAAGACAGCAGAGGCCAGAGTCATCTCAGATTTTAAACAAAGAAGTAACAGCAAGATGCTCCCACACAATTTGGCTGCACAGTCCGTTTCAAAGCATCTCCAGCCTTTGAAAAATACTAAAATGCTACACTGAAGTTGAGCAAGAGGAGTGAGAGCACTCACTGCTGGGTGATTGTGCATATTTCATGTGAGAGTGGCAGCTCTGTGGAATTCATTCATTTCAAAGGATGACGATCTCATTGTGTAACATTGCAGGACTTCTGAGAATTCAATCTATCTCTGAATAGCCGCCTGCATTTTGGTGAACCAGAGGTCGTTTCTTCGGGTCTCAGTAACTTGGAAAAGGTGCAAAATACCAAATGCTCATTACAAGCAAAGAGCACTAGTCTCTCATCCTCCCTAAGGTCTGCACTCAACAATCGCCAAACTGTTTAAAACCATTTTTCACAATGAAATACTCCAGTCTGGTATACACTACAGCAGGTCCACGAAGGCTGATGGCAAAGGTGGGATTTGTAACACAAAGGTGGGATTTGTGTGCAGTGCCCATTTCAGACCCACCTCGCCACCTCCTTTCCCCAAAAGCACACCAGGCAGCAAATCTAAAATTAAGTGATAATGAATTCTTGATCTGTGTCCAATACCTGGAAGTAGGATGTTTGCTGTAATTTTTTTTTTTTTGCAACCAATCCCTTCTTCACCCTCTTGTTAGTACCCTGAGGTACACACAAAGACTCATGCACACACACACACACACACACACACACGCACAAACTAGTCACTGCCCAGGGTCAAAGACAAAAAGGAAACTCAAGTGTCCATCTGGGTATTAGTCATGTGAGTCCCTAGGGCTCTAAAGGCTGGTCTCTAAACCATGCAGGCAGAGGTGTGTACTGGGGGTGGGGGGGAAATGCTGTGCATGCCAGGAAGTCTAGAGATGAAAAGAAACGAAGACAAGAGGAAGACCCAAAGGATTCACTGTTCACCCAAAGGTGCAGCAGCAGCTTTGGTTTCCACCCAACCCTCTTTCAAGGCTGCAGGCAGAAGAAAGGGCTTTGTAAACTCCTTCCCGGCGCAGGGCCCCTCGGCTCAGCCAGAGGGGACACCTTTGTGTGTCTCTATAAAGGGCACCTTCGGAACAAAGGTTTAACACCTGCACGCTGCTTAGAACAATGGCTGCAAAAGGAACTGAGTCAGCAGTGTCTTCCAATTAGCGGGGGATTCCCCTCTCCTCCTTGGAAGGGGAGGGGGCTAGACAGGGAGAAGTCCCCTGTGCAGAGGGACCCGGCCTCGGGCACAGAAGCCCCACGAGCGGTAGGGAGCACGCGTGTCCGTGGAGCCTCAGTCCCGCCGCCCTCCCCGCCGGGGCTCTCCCCAAAACGCCCCCGCCGCAGCCTGCCCCATTGTCTGAAACGGTCTAAAAACTTCGCAACTAGTCAAACAGGAACAAATAAACAAATAAACTCGTTTAACAAGGCCATGGATAATTAATTACCCGGAGAATTTTCCTCCCCTGGACTCGCAGGTTCGGCGACCTCCCAGCCCCTGCGGCCCCTACCAACGGGCCTCGGGAATCCTTTCAAGAGACAAAAAGCCACCCCAACCCGGGCGCTGTACCTTGCACACCAGCTCCTCTCCGCTGTGCAGATGCACGGCACGGAAAACGTGGTCTCCCTCCAGAGGTTCCAACAATAAGTATTTCCCGATGCAAGAAACGCAATGCGACAAGTTCGGAGTCTCCGGCGGGCTCGGGGAGCCAAGGTTCGGGCTGAAACTCTGGCTGGGCTCGGCGGACCTTATAGACGACAACTCTTCGAAATCCTGGGTTTTGTTCCGCGATCTCCCATATCTCGCTATTGTGATAGGGGTGGACCTGTGTATGTTCATGAGTGTGGGGATCGCACACGACAAACAAAAAAGCCCGCTGGAGAGAGGTGAGTCGCAGGCGAGCGCGGCTGCAGGCGCCTCCGGATTTAAAAAGGGAACGAGACAGGAGGGACGGGAAAGGGGCTACGTGAAGAGAGTTAGAAGCCTCCACTGGGCGCCGCCGGGCACCTGATCTGTTCCGAGCCCGGCTCCCGGTGGTAAGCAGTCGGCAGGCAACTCGGGTCCTTTTGTTACCCCAAAGCAGCCAGCGAGGTGCAGAATCGCCGCACTGTTAGTTCCTCCCTCTCTCTTCCAGCGTGGATCCGGACGAGTAGCCGGGCTGAGAAGGTGGGAGCTGCCGCGCCGGTGGCCCGAAGCGATCCCCAGGCAGGCTTGCAAATCGCAGACGGGGCGAGGAGCCCTGCTTTACTTTACGCAGTCTTCGGGGAGCGCCCGGCAGCGGCTCGGTCTCCACGCGTTAGAAACCAAACAAAAAGAAAAAGGAAATAAGCACGGGGCTACCGGCTCGTAGGCCGGGGGCTCCCGGCTCGCGACGCGCGGCAGCCAGAATCCGCTCTGCACCCCCTTTTTTGGTGGAAAGGGTGGGGGGCGTGGAAGGGGGGGTGTCGGAGAGGGCAGTTACCTACGTTTTAACTGTAGATGGCGTCTGAGGCTTTTCCAAGATCGCAAGAGCTCTCCAAAAATTAAACAAACACAAAAAAAGAAAAATAACCAGGGAGCATTTAACTTGGAGCGGTCAGCGCTGCCAACAAAAGATTGCAAAAGCTGGGCACGGAGTTGCGGCGCGGGCCGGGCGCAGGTACTGCCACAAAGCCCAGGCTCGGCCGGCCGCGCAGAGGTCAGCACTGGCTCATGCTGAGGCCGCTCGCTCGCGCTCCGGATCTTCCTCCGAATGAAGCGAGAAGTGAAGGCAGAGGCGAGGGAGGATCAATGGTCTCGGATTTCCCCGGCACGAGCTTCCGGGGGTCCTGGGGATCTGCAAGGGGGATGCGCCCCCGGCGCAGCCAACCCGCGCTGTTCCTCACCGCCGGAGATCTGGATCTCGCCTTGGAATAATTTGCAACCACTCCGTTTTCCCCTACTCTGCACACAAAGTGCCCGGCGGGTTTGTTTTGGAGAAAAAATTGATGGCTTTTCTTCTTTTATTTTGCCTGGCCCTTCGGAGGTAGGAGAGGACAGTGTATTTAAAAATTAAAGGGGATGGCCGACGGCGCCCGAGGCCAATCCCCGCGCTCAGCACGCCCGCATCTCCCGGCGAGGCGGTATTAATAGTTACTTACGTGGCCGGGGATCTCGAGCGAGCTGGGCTGTGTGTGCGCGTGTGTGCGCGCGCGCGCCTCGCTCGCGCTCGGTCTCCCATTCAATGTCACCGACACATTTCCACGGAGCCTCCGCCCCCCCACTCGCGACTGGCTCGGCCCGGAGCCGGCCCCGCCCCCCTCCGCCCCGGGTCCCC